ATTATAATATTCTAGAAACGTTTACACTCGACTAGTTGATTCTTCTCATGTTTATTGAATGTGAAACTATGAACAATCATCATTTTCATGAAAAGCCCAACATCACATTCTGTGTTTCGTTTTATTTCAATCACTCTGGCAGAGAAATTCATCGCAACACGATATTTTAAATAGACACACTCGACTGTTTACCGGATGGGTGTTTGTGTTAAATGTTGATTGAAGTTGGATACGGTAGTTGGGTGAGGGCAATCAGATTTGACACGAGATCGAATACATTTTGAAATATCATCTGGTGTTGAAATTCGTGTTAGTTTTGCCATAGAAATCAAATGAATTCCTCCGTGAATGAACACTCTAAGATGAATTGTTAAATAGCCTGCAAGCCACGTCGGTCTGAACAACCTCACATGCTTGTTTTGACTTGATGTTATTTAGGAGGTTTTTTGATTGAGTTAGACGAAGTTCGGTGTTTATAGTCTGTTTTAAATCGTACAAGATTAGTTAACCTCACGAATTACATATAACAGCTTAACATCCTAATAAACTAAGACGCCAACAGAAATGGTAATCAAATCAAAGACAAGCGCAGTTTAAATGCTGATCACATCTGTAAACTACTGGCATGAATTCTGTAATTATTACCTTCAGAATGTATATACATTAAATACAAAATGAATTCTGAAACTCAGGGGATTTAATTTATTCTGATTACTTGATTGCAAGCAAATCTTAAAGTTTATTTAATGAGATATATATGAAAATGATGCTTCGCTGTCACACAAGGCTACACAGAGATATCCGATTTATCAGTAATGCTTGGTCATAAATTGAAAACGTTTATGACGAAGCATGAGATACAGTGGACATCCAGGATGCAGCTGGATGATCTAGACTTCGCTGATGATCTGACTTAAACCTACTTTTCTATCGCACACGCAACAACAAATGCAGGAGAGGAATGAGCAGATCAGCATAGCCTCAAAGGCAGTAAGTCTCAATATACACAACTGGAAAGGTCAGATTCTCCGATACAACCCAGAATGCACCAATGCAATCACAATTGATGGAGATTCGGAAAAATTAAAAACCTTCACATATCTGAACAGTTTCATTGATGAACATGGTGGATCTGATTCAAATGTGAACGCAGTTTTACTGTATGGGGGGAAACCAGGAGAACTACGAAAGTCATCATCCAGAAGATACAAGTGTTTGTTAACAGATATCTACGCAAAATACTTGGAACCCGTTGGCCAGATATTATCAGCAACAGCCTACTAGGGGAGAGAACAAAACAGATTCCAGCTGACGAATGAATCAAATAAGAGAAGCACTGGAAGTGGATAGGACACACATTGAGGAAAACACGCAACTGTGTCACAAGGCAAGCTCTCAGACATGAGAAGAACGAACATCGATGGGATAGAACTAGAAGGGAAGGCTCAGATTAGAATAAATGGGTTGGAGAATGCTGTTTGGCGGCCAATGCTCCATTAGGAGTGACAGGCGTAAGTTATCCGTCGTTAAGAGTCAATCAATTTGGTCAATTTACAAACAGCTGCAGAACAATAAGTAACTTGTGGATAAGTGTAGTGACTAGTATTGGCTATTAACGCATTACAGGGCGATGAAATACTTATCTAGTAATTTATACATATCTTCATATCTCATAGATCGAGCTGTAATATGATCCACATTCAGACATTTGTACCATGTTCTGATGTTGAATGGTTGGAATCAGTTAAAAGTAATTCTTGGACAAGGGTTTTAAGCTAGTTTGCCTACATCATCAAGTCAGACAATCTCGCTTTGCTATTTTAACACAATCGTTGATTTGTGCAGTCTTCTGAGTTCTTAACACCATCCAATGTATATATCATGACCAAATTAACAATCAAAATACAACACATATACTGATGTGCATTGTCATCAGTACAACGATAGTTCGGAGAAGACTTCCTTGAGTACTACACTAGATGATATGAGTTCGAATATATGAAGATGGTATTGAGGTGTGTGCTACTTAATTCGACATAAATAGTAGATAACATTAGTGAAGAATAAGGATGTCCGACAGCAGGAGGTCATGAATTTCGAGAGGGAAACAACGGGAACAGAAAGCAATGCAGGAGCAATGAATTCTGAGATGACTGACTGATATTTGCAAAAGGTACAGTCATGATTGCGACGATTAATTGGCATTTTGCAAAATAAGCATTCACTATAAGGTTGTCAGAGTTAACAACTATGTTCTGTGTATATGTGTTTAGATTGCAAGACTGAATGAAGTCTCAGGGTCAGCTAAACTTACCTAGATCAATAATTCAGATCAATATTTCAATTCTTATGTAAATTGAATTTTCAATCTGTATTCAATTAAAATGACTTGGTTTGTCTTACCTTAGAAACAAACGTTTCATTCAAGTTAAGGTTTATAATTTCTGTGAATTACTTTCTTTTCATACGTTATCTCTTCTATCCAGTAAATAAAGTAAAATTTACATAAACATGAGAAGAGCAACAAATATACTTCGCTGGTAAATCATTAGCACGAAGTACACCAACTGTTAACTGAACGATGAAAAACACAATGGATTGTAATGACTCATAGTAAGATGCTAATTTGAATTGTGAAAACACTGTATACAAGAATGAACAATGTTCAGCTTTGTTATTTCAAGTACATTGGGTATCCGGCAGATTGTGATTAGAATGATCAGATTAAGTGTAAGCCGATTCTTCACTGAATAAATCACAAAACAATCACTAAGATTCAAAACCAGAGAAACAGATGTGTAGAATACTTCGAGGAACTCTTCAATAGACCAGCTCCGTTGAATTCATCGGACATCGAAGCACCACCTACAGACCATCTCACATGAACTAGCCAAAAGTTATTGTGAATGAATGGACTGTAATTAATAGACTGAGTATAGCTCAAGAACGATAAATCGTATAATAATTGTTCAAAGGTCAAAGAGAAGCTTGTAATGAGGAAAGTATAGTCATATATATATTCCAGTTACTGAATAGTTATATATTATTACCAAACGTATATTACTTGTCCATAATTAGATCTCAAAAGTTGTCATCCATAATATTCGTCGGGATATTACAACTAGCGTTTGTACAATTGTTTTGAATGATGAATTTCATATCGCAGTAAGTTCTATGAATGCCATCTCAGATAATAATGAACATGTTTGAGTTAGATTATCGATATTAAAAGGTGGATTATCAATGAAAGAAATGAACGACTAGCTGAAATAATTGCATTCCATCTACTTTTCAACATTATCCATACACACGTACACGGTGTGTGTGTTTTTCTTATTTAAGCCAACAAATATCCCGTATATCTACATTCCATGAAATATAGATTATGGCAATCGATGGGAAAACCTGACTGACTTAATTTCAGTACCTATCCGGTTCTATCCACGATAAATACTTCATGTTAATTAGTTAGATACTGAATGATTCAATGTTATGTCATTCACATATTTGCTAAACAATGACTGATGTTAACTGTGAGGCAGGTTAAAGAGCATCAATTTCCACATATACACTAATGAAAGTCATAATACAAAGTAACAATCACAGTTAATGTCAATAGATTGAATTAGTTCAGGACTTACTTATTTCGAAATGTTTTTTTTCTGGTTAGCGTTTTTTCTTAGTGAGTTAGTTTTCTACGGGATGTGATCGCTAACCCCATGCCCCACTCTCCTCCTTTACCCAGGCTTGGAACCGGCAGTAACTCTGGAAGAGCTACAGGCTAAGTTTAGTTCAGGACATATGAAATTATTTTTCTTCCTCCTATAGTTCATTTTTTTCAAATAATTAAATGACAATGTTGTTCAGAACGATCACGAAATCTTCGCTTACAAATCATTCAATTCATGTAAACTAAATACACATTGAAATAGTCAAG